GTTAGGACGGGGGAAGATTTGGCCGCGATACAACCATTTGAAAATCTGGAATCTGAGGGTGCAAAAAAACCAAAATATTGTGAAAATCGCCTTTAAAGATGTCCAAATAAAGTCCTTAGTAATTCATATTACTAATCAAAAATGAAGTTTTTATTTATTTACGGTAGGAAATTGTCAAAATATCTTCATGGAACATGATCTTTACCTAATATCCTAATGATTTTTGGCATAAAATAAAAATCAATCATTTTGACCCATACAATGTATTTTTGGCTATTGCTACAAATATACCCCAGCGACTTAAGACTGCTTTTGTGGTCCAGGGTCACATATAAACTACTTAGAATAGTTAACTTTGAAATGTGATGCATAAGCGCTAAAGACCCCGTCCAGCCCTCATGGTTTTGTTTTCTCTGTCAAAGGCGTATCATTAAGGTGATAAATGTTTTGAACCTGCCATGTTTTGTTCTTCAGGCACCAAACACAAAACCATGCTGGAGGCTCGGAGTGGGATCGGCTCCATCAAATCCTTCCCCAGGCCCGGACTGAAGGGCAAGCTGACTGCACCCACTAAAGCAGACACGAGCCTGCAGAACAAGACATTCCACTGTGAAACCTGCGACGTGCACGTCAATTCAGAGACGCAGCTCAAGCAGGTGAGCGCCGAACCTCATTTGTCATGTGTGTGTGTGTGTTTTACTATAAATGCTTGAAGCAAATAATCTGCAGTGCAAATTGTATTTTAATTTGGTATGAAAAGTTCATAACAGCATTAAACGCTGTTATAGAATCTGTAAACGGTGTCTGTCAGCTCATCACATCTGTGTCACATTCTGTGTTTGTATCGTCAGCATATCAGCAGCAGACGCCATAAAGACAGAGCTGCAGGGAAACCAGCCAAACCCAAGTACAGTCCTTACACCAAAACCCAAAGAGGAGCCACCAAACAGACAGTAGGTTCCTGCTTCCTCTCGCTTCCAAATGCAACTGCAATCTGTTAGTTTAAGAAAGGTTAAAAATACCTGGAGAAAAATATCCTTTAGCAACCCCGTTCATTTCAATGGAAATGGACAAACAATAAAGGCTGTTCTGTTTTGTGTTGCTAGTGGTGCAAAAATAAGTGTCAGCCCAGAGCGTTTCAAAATCAGATGTTGCATGATGGAGTGATGCCATATTTAATAAAAACAACATGAATTGATTTCACAACACATTTAACTTTCACGATGTGACATATTTCTGTTCAGTGGGAAATAATGAAGACCAGGGGCAAGTTCAAGCTCAAACCGGTGTGTACCGTTTTGCTACGGTTTCCGGTTTGAACGACATGTTTCCTGGAAACGGTGTGCAACGGTGTGCAACGGGGTTTGAGATGCGTTTTCTCTTGTTTGGTGGGTGTGTCAAACATGTCAGCCCAATCAGCAGCAACATGTATATAAACCACGCGGTATTAAAGAGACAGCTCGCACAATGTAATTAACATCCAAATAAATTCACAAGAGCAAGTATATTGTTTGCACATGTTTATTTACATTAAAGGCAAAATAACTAAAATAATAAGAGCACAAGTATAGATCTGGAACTTCTTTAAGTCTGTCTAAATATCATTTAGTAATTGCAATGTCTTCTGGTCCATATCCTTTCCTTAAAGGTGTGCTAAATACTGATTAATGTAACATAAAAATACTATACATATTTATATATTTCTTATATATGTCTCGGAGGTAAGAAGTGGATTATCCTTCACCTGAAATGTTTGTCTTTTCATCCTGAAATGCGAGGGAAATGTTGGATCACAATAATTAGGAACCACAGTTTCCACAAATCCCTTCACTCGATTGGGATGTTCTCTTTTATTCTGGA